CTGGTCCATTCAGCTCCTTGGTAGGCTGAACTCCATGACCAGGTGGACATACCTTGACTGGCCTGGGCTTCGATGCCTGTTGAGAATTCGACGAGACAGTTCGAGAGGTGGCTGATTGAGGTTGAGAAGCGTGCATTTCAATCCTCTCCCTGGCTTTGGCTCTGCTGAGAACGAATTCCTTGAGCGCTGCATAAGTGGGGAACTCCGTTGACGAGCCTATTTCGATCTCCCAATCCTCCAGCGTTTTGGAATCCAGTCGACTTGTAATGAGATGAACGAGCAGATCATCCCACTGCTTGACAGGACGTCCGAGAGACTCCAAAGCATTCAACGCTTCAGCTACAGAGTTGAGAAGTGCGTTGTATTCCCTGGCTGAGCGGTTGATTACTTTTGGAGCAGAGAAAAGCTTCTCCAACTGGGTGGAGATGAGCAACCTCTTGTTGTCGTACCCGGCCAAGAGAGTGTTCCAAGCTGGCATGAAAGAGTCTTGGGTTACTGGCAAGGTAGACATGAGCTGCTTAGCCTCGCCAGTGAGAGAAGTGAGCAAATAGTGGAATTTCTCCACGGTCGAGAGAGCGGGATTCCCAACCACCATTGAGAGGAAGAGATCCTTGTATGGAGTCCACTCCGAGAAGTTTCCTGAGAAAGTCGGGAGAGAGATTTTAGGCAATTGCCTATGAGTCACTTGCGCCGACTGAGAAACCACTGATGGACGACGAAACGACTCAGATAGGTCAATTGACTCATCCAACCCCTTGATGAGTCCCATGAACGTAGTTCGAGCAGCGGAGTACATCCCGAGACACTTATCATACACCTCCTCCTTCACGTAGGCATGATCGAGAACCTCCTCGTTGTCCTTGGCTGTCAGTAGCTTGAGATGTAAGGCGTCAAACATGTTCCAGTGGTTTTCCAACATGTCGAGTTTAGACTGGAGTTCAGTCACCGAGAGCTCGTGCACACTTTCGGCGACTGATTCAATCCTCATGTTCTCAATAAACTTCGCCCTACTGGCCTGGATCAAAATTCTGCCCTTGAATGACATGCTTACGCTAGAGAAGTGCAAGGAAGCTTAAGAAGTGAGAAAAGGCTAAAGCAAAATCACACAAACAAGCGAGAGCAGAGAAAAGACAGCCAGCAGCACCTTCAGCAACTACGATTGACTTGAGCAATGCAAACACTAACTCAAAATCAAGTAGAGAAAATTGTGTTGTACATCCATTAGTATTATTATATAGGCAAGAAAAGTGAATTGAAGAAATGGCTAGGAGCCGGATAGCTCAGTTGGGAGAGCACCCGATGCATAATCGGAAGGTCCCGGGTTCAAGTCCCGGTCTGGACTATCCATTTTTTCAGTAATTTTTCTCGCAAAATTATATGGAGAATTATCCTGTTCCCCTTCCTA